ACTCAAGTTTCTCTTCTGCTTTTGGCCTTTATTCCCAAATGTCATTGCCAAATGGCAAAAAGAGAGGCGGTGAGCCTCTTGTATTTCAATTAGAACCAGGTATGTTTTGGGACAAGTCTTTGAATATACTTGTGCAGCGTCACCTGTGGGATTCAAATTATTCTGGATCACTTGAAAAGCTTATCTTAAATGTACCTTGGTGATCCTTTTTCACTGAATCCTCCCATATTCTAGTCTGCCTTGGCTACAGGCCTTCATGCCTTATCACCAGGTGCTTTCAAAATCCTCTCACTGGGATGTCCTAATTCTGACACAAAACCTAGAAGCCATAAAAGGGGAGATTAAAGCCCTAGCTGGTTTGGCTCAGTGGATAGAGGGTCGGCCTGTGGACTGAAGGGTCCCAGGTTCGATTCCGGTCAAGGGCACATGCCTGGGTTGCAGGCTCGATCCCCAGAAGAGGGCGTGCAGCAGTCAGCTAATCAATGATTCTCATCATTGATGTTTCTCTCTCTCTCCCTCTCCCTTCCTCTCTGAAACCAATATATATCTATATATGTATATATGTGTGTATATATATGTGTGTGTGTATATATATGTATGTGTGTGTATATATAGAGAGAGAGAGATTTAAGAATTCCACCACATAAAAATATCCTGCCATAATAAACAATGACAAAGTGTGTGGGGGTGCGGGGGGATGGGGGTTGTTAAAGTTAGTTCATAGCAAAAATAAGGGGCTTCTGCTAAGAAAAAGACCAAACAATAGAAAAGTGTCAATAATCACAGAAAAGCAATGAGCAAAACTCAGATTGTGGAAACGTCTACAGGTTAATCTTATCTTGTTCAAAAATAAAGGAAAAAGTAAATGGAAGAGTAAACATATAGATTAAAATAGGAAATAAGCACTTTACCTTCACTAAAGAAATCTGAATGGCCCAAAAGCTTATGAAAAAAAATGCTCATGATTATCAAGGAAGACAAATTGAAACCACAATGGGGTACCACTACACACAGAATGGTTGAAATTACAGGATGACACCATTAAATGTAGACCTAGTGGCTCTCATATTGTTTGTATGTACAATAGGATGACCACTTTGGAAAGAGGTATGTCAATTTCTAGTAAAACTTAAAATATACCAACATTACAACTCAGGATATTCTTCTAAGTACTTACTCAAAAGAAATTAAAACAGGTCCACAAAAAGGCTTGCACAAGAGGTTCATAGCAACTTTATTTATTATAGCCCAAATGGGAAACAGCCCATTGTCCACCAGCTGTTCATCTAACACATGAAAAGTTAAACTGTGGCATGTTCATACAATAGACTACTACTCGGCAATGAAAAGAAACCAAGTGGAAACATAGGGATGAAATCTCAAAACACGCTCAAGAGGAATTTGCACACAAACACATACTGTATGATTCCATTTATATGAAGCTCTAAAATGGCTAAACTAATCCATGGTGAAAATCCTAACAGGGAGAAGAGATGGGAGAGGTGCAGAAACTGGGTGAAGGAACTTCCTGATGTGATGATGTTCCGTAGCTTGCTGGGAATTTGGGTTACAAGTTGTGCATCAAAACTCATCTAATGGTACATTTAACATTTATTCACTTCACTGTAAATTTTACAAGTAAAAACTTAACAATATATATGCCCAAAAGCTTAAGAGTCAAATATAGATATTTACAACTTAGACACACATAAAGAAAATAGACCAATGGATGCACAGATGATAATGTATGGCAAAATAGTACCTTTTCGAGGTGATAGGTATAGGCATGCTTATAGTTGCCTTTATTGTATGCTTGAAATTTCATATTTAAAAATGTCACTTTATTGTTTGATTGAAATTTTGTATTTAAAAATGTCACAGGGGGAAAAAGAGGCAGAGTAACCGACTACAATATGTAGACTACTTAGATCCTGACTCAAGGTTTTTTTAAAAAAGACATTTCAAATAGATATTTTTAGTGATAAAAAGAATTAGTATTTTTAGGAATGATGGTATTTTTAAAGTCCTATTTAAAGAGATGCACACTGAAATACAAATGATAATATGGTTTGAATTTGCTTTAAAATTAATGAAGATGACTAATACATAGGGATTGTAAGAGAACAGAAAAGGAAATTCAAAAGCTCTAAACGTGAAATGCTACCTCATAGAATACTATTGCAAGTGTACATACACACACACACGCTTAACCTCTAAGAGTGGCAAAGAACAGTTGCTAATACACTGTGTCAGTGAGGCTATGGGGAAATGGGCACTTGCACTGCTAGTGCAAAGAAAAAATATACAGATATAAATTTAATTTGATATAAATTACAAGTGCACATATTCTGATCATTTATCCTACAGAGAGAAATTTATGTATATATAAAATGACAAATGTATACAAGGTAATTCATTTCAGCATTATAATAGCAGAAGATTGGAAACAATATATGTTCATTAGTAAGGGACAGGTTCAATTGCATACATCCATAGTGTACAATCACTTTTAAAAAATGAGGGAAGCCCTTACGGTAAGAGCTTCATCCCGTACATCAGGTGGCATGTTCTCTTGGTTGGGGTGCATGCAGGAGGCAACTGATCAGTGTCTCTCTTCTCTCTCTCTCTCTCTCTCTCTCTCTCTCTCTCTCTCTCTCCCTCCCTCCCTCCCTCCCTCCCTCCCTCCCTCCCTCTCTCTCATGCACGAGGCAACTGATCAGCGCTTCTCTCTTTCTCCTTTCCTCTAAGATTAATAAAAAATAAAAATATTAAAATCAAAAAAGAGGAAAGATTTTTGTGTAATGACATCAAATGATCTTTAGGATATACTAAATGAGAAAAGGGTTCAGAAAAGTATGTATAGTATGCTAAAAAGAAATGAAAATGTTTATTATATTTGCTTATCTATACAGTAAATATCACTGGAAGTTTACATCAGAAAGTGATGACAGGGCTGCCTAAGGGAAAGTAAGTGGCTGAAGTACAGGATCAGAGGAAGTACACCCCTTCAAATCTCTAGAATATTATTTCCTTCAAAAAATAAAATATATACAAATTTAAAAAGTATCTTATTTTTCATATCATCAAGGTCTAAACATCAAATAAAACCTTCTTATATCCCCTTCCTAAAATGAAGAAAACCACCCAACTAAAAAACTGGGCAAAAGATCTGAACAGACACTTCACTAAAGATAATATGCAGATTCAAATCTGTTAAAAGATTCTCAACATCTTATGAAACTATGGAATCACAAATTAAAACAAGATACGACACCCTTATTACAACAGCTCAAATTCAAACATTGAGAACACTGAATGCTGAAAGGATGAGTTGCTACAGGAACCGGCACTCACTGCTGGTCGGGATGTAAAATGGAACAGCCAGCCGCCTTGGAAGCTAGTTTAGCATTTCTTATTAAAACTAAACAGTCTTACCATATGATCCAGCAACCCCACTCCTTGGCACTTACCCAAATGAGTTGAAATATTATGTACACACGAAAACCTACACGACTGTTCATAGCAGCTTTATTCCCTTCGTACGAACTTCAGAGTATCTTCTAATCTGCAGAATCCGGAGGGAAAAGTCCATTCCTACCACATTAGGGCTATTTTTTTTGAAAGGCAATGGAACTTAGGCCTGCCTCTACTGCTGAAATACCATTCTGCTCTATAATGTGTCCTACCAATTGAATATAAACCCTTCCACATGATTTAGGGGAAACTGTGAAAACAAAAGAATGTTCTAAATTGTAAAATGAATAGGATGTAACCCAGAGAAAAATCCCCAAATGAGAATCTGCTGAGGGATGGTTTAGGGCGGAGGATGCCAATACGGATGTTGACTATACGCAAGGCCCTTGCCTCCAAATGTCATGTAGATGGAAGTGCTTTCCCCTGCTGCTTCCTCCCCACACTGCAGATGTGTCCAGGCTTCAGACTTCCGCTCCACAGCTCACCCCATCTCCCTCCCACCTGGCAGAAGCCGCCTTCACCCAGACACAGAGGGACAAATACTCTGGGTTCTGCTTCCTTCTCTGGCATCAGTGAGTATCTCAGATCAGATCACAATCTAGCCATTTCCTCCTCGGGATCTACACAAAAACCTACACTTTGATGAGGTTCCTTATCAGAGTCCTCCCTTACAGCTCCTTAAGAAGTAGCTAACTAAAGCAGTATATGGGTATCCCGGCCACAGCCCATCTGGCAATTTTGATAGCTTTCCCACAAAGGAGAATATAAAGACACAAATAGAAGAGAAAACCTCTGTCATTACTTATTTCAATAGCAACTGATGACAAACAACCCAGTTTTATCAAATTTGGGGAAAGAAGAAATAAGTCTTTTGATTGGATAGAAATAAAAGATCACTTTTATTCTATCACACTATCTTACACATGCTTTTTTACACCTGCCTTCTCAGCAAGTATTCATTTAGTAGCCTAAATTATGAGCAATAACTTGCTAAAGGGAGGCTAGGAAAAGTATATGAATCCATAAGACTTCCCAAGAACGGCCACCTTTTTAAAAAGAACTCAGCCACTAGTGTGGCAGAAGACACACCCTTTCCAGCTTACACACCACACAACACTTTAAGGCTTTTGCTTTCTTTTCCCAGGGATATGCAAATGAAATTCAGTATCTCCAAAATACAGTAATTGCAAATGAATTAGTTCCTCCCCATCCCCAATCCCCAAAAACCCTACAGATTTTTTCCACAGCAAATTGGATGCCTACTGCTAAAGGGAGAGAAAAGATCACATTCTAGCAGGTCATACAGCTACAGACACCAGTTTGCACAGCTCAGTACACATGTATGAAAACATATTTCCATTTAAGTAGGAACGCTGAAGCTGTTAAACTGGGTCAGTCATGTTCTTACTGGATGACAAACACAACTGAAAGTCAATCATGTCTCCTTATAATAATATACCAGGACTTGATGTAATAAAAATATATTTGGTTTATCCACACACTCCAAAATAAATACTCTTAGGTAATCTGCCTGAACCAAGCTTTCATTTATTAACTATTTACAGTACAGTGATTTTGTATCTTAGCTGGTAATCAAAGATGGTTATGTACTGAGTGAGAGAAGACATAATCTCTCTTCCAAATATCACCTCTCAAAAATCTGGACTAATTCGATTTTAAGATCTAGAATTGCATCTCTTGGTAACTACATAGCAGTAGTGACCCAGAGAACAGGAACAAGGCAAAGAAAGTATACAGGACTTTGATTCTCCTACACAGGTGCACATAAAATTAGTTTATTAATGACTACATTTTCAAGCCAGCCATTTTGATCCAATATTTAAATAACAAGCTATTTAATATGAAAGCAGAATGTACTGCCACAATGTGACATAAGTACAGCTTTATCCATAAACCCTTCACACAATTATACATTAAATGCTATTTTTATTTAAGCAAGGCACCCCTACTGTTCTAAAATATGGGATGTGCTACCCCACTGAAAAAGCAAATGAAGGGACTTAGGTTTTTTCCTATCTAGAGCTGGTTTAAATTCATGTGAAGCCATTAAGATCCTTACCAGTAGGAACTGTTTTGAGATGTCACTTCACAGTTTTGAGACTAACACCCCTAATGTTTACCCAAAACCAAAAAAGGGGGTCAGAGGATGGGGATGTGTTCAGACAACTTTTAAGTTGAGACTAGAATTCCCTCCAAAAGCACACAGGCACTATGTTAAATGCCAGTAGCACAAGCTTAGAAAGGCCAAACATTTCTAAAGATGTGACACTGCCGAACAGTTGTCCATTATACTAACCAGTGGTATTTATTTTTTTGTTTTGAATCTTTTTTTTTTTTTTACATTCCTACCCCTTAAGTCATCAATACACCTAAAATTATAACTACTCTACCAAATAATAATGATTCAAAGGTCTGAAACCTTTCTTTGCTTTGGTGAGTATTTGGTTAAAATAAATCAGTATTTTATTCCTTAGGAAGTTTTTTATCAGAGCTCTCAAAAAAATCATTTTTAAAATGGGAGGAAGATTTTAAATGACAGGGCTGAATAAAAATATGCAGTCTTTACATTGGATAACAATCTCTATGAAAACAAATTATTTAATCATAAAATAAAGACCAGATTTGTAAATCAGATCCTATCCTAGACAGTTTTAAACAAAATTTAAATTTGTGATTTATTTAATTCCAAACTGAATCTTTCCTTTTTCTTTCTAAACAGTCCACTATGGAATTTTTCTTAAGCAATTAACCCAAAACCCCCATATCCTTTCTCTAACAGTTGCTGCTAAAACACTGGAACTGTATATCCCATATCCAAGAAAGATGTGCAAATGAAATGCTTCTTGCTTCATCCTGAAAATAAAACAAAAAGTACAGCACATTTACTAAAAACGAAAAAGTGTTGAACATGTTCCCATATCATTTAAAATAACAAATTCAGTAATTTTTTTTTCTTTCCTATTTCATGCAACTTATCTGAAAAATCAATTAAGTTGAGGTAAAGAAAATTAGTTAGGCATCAGTATTTATAGCCTGGTATGAAGATAGGAAGGCTTTTAAAGTGAGGCACAGAATATATTTTACACAGATTTTAGCTAATGTAAATATGTAATATCAGGAGATTGTGGTATTTTACATCCAAAAACAGCCCATGACAACTATTATAAAGAAATGTCCCAGATGTTTTCAAGAACTCACTAAATATCTACCACTACATGTAGAAAAATGATTACAACGAAATATATTAAAAGATTTGCCCTGGACAGTGTGGGTCAGTTGGTTGGAGCATCATCTTATACACCAAAAGGTGGCATGTTTGAGTCCCAGTCAGGCACATACCTAGGTTGCGGGTTCAATCCCGGGTCGGGGAACTTAAGGGAGGCAACCAATCAATGTTTCTCTCTCATATTGATGTTTCTTTCTCTCAAATCAATAAAAACATATCCTTGGGTGAGGATTAAAATATACTGTGTGTGTGTGTGTGTGTGTGTGTGTGTGGATATATATATATATACTTTATAGGGGGAATAAAGAAAAATACCATATAGCATTTAGTCAAGAGAAAAGACATATTTAGATTTGTCACAGGTAAGTTAACCCTATGAAATCATAAGCTTCCTAGTACAACCATTTTCATAATACCACTTTACGAAAAGAAACAGTGGTGCATTAAGTGTACATATCACTGGTATACCCTGGTTTCAAATGTATCACTTTAAACATTTTAAAAATATCTTAGAACTGAGGAAATGTGTTCAAAATTTTTATAGAAAGAAAAACAAAAGAAAAAAGAAAAGAAAAAAAAAAGGAAAACAAATGCAAGCACATTGCCAGTGTATTATGATTTATAGCTACTAAAGGTGAAAAATTATTTTTCAGCTCACAGAATCATGAATGTTGAGAAAAAATGCAAAAAGACTGTATATGGGGAAAATACTCAAAACCACTATCTATATATATAAAAGCCTAAGCAATCATTTGATTGTTCAACCGGTCGCTATGATGCGCACTGACCACCAGGGGGTCAAATGCTGAACGCACAGGATCAGGCTCCCTCCTGTCTGGATCAGGCCTGCGGGGATTGGGCCAGAACTGGCTCTCCGACATCCCCCAAGGGGTCCCAGATTGCGAGAGGGTGCAGGCCAGGCCGAAGGACCCCACCAGTGCACAAATCTGTGCACCAGGCCTCTAGTCTATATATATATATAAAAGCCTAAGCGACTGAACAACCGGTCGCTATGACACACACTGACCATCAGGGGGCAGATGCAGGAGCTGCTCCCCCTGGTGGTCAGTGGGCTCCCACAGCCAACCTCCCGTGGTCCCTCCCCCTGGCCGGTCAACCACCCACAGTCCCTCCCCCGGGGCCAGCTGGCCCCAATGACCCCGATAGGAGCCTCCGGCCAACCTCTCGCGGTCCCTTCCCCACCCCTGCTGGCCAACCTCCCGCAGCCCCAATCGGCCCCTATCGCCGGCCAGGCTGAGGGACCCCACCCGTGCACAAATTGTGCACTGGGCCTCTAGTACAATCATAATGAATTCTGTTTCCCAGATCAGTTTCATCTTTATTAACACATTAAGTGCCATGTCAGTCACTGGTGACTGAAACGGAAAGGAAGACAAAACAGGCTTGGTGCTTAATGTGTTAAAGAGAACAGTTTCCACCATATTACAAATTAGTAAATTAATAATTAATTTATCAATTGAAAATAGTTTCCACAATTGGACCTCTTAAGTTTACCTTATTATCTGGAGTCTTATTTTCCCTTTGGACATGAATTCAGGAACAATTCAATATACCTATGCTCTGAGAATGACAAAAAAAGATTCATTTCAAAAAGTTGAAAATGCAGAAATAATATTATTTATGAGCCTTTTTTCTCATAATATGAGCCCTTTTTCTCATAGTTCAGACAGAAACTCAAACCTTTTGTCCATTGGCTTTCTTAAACTAAAATATAAAACAAAATTAAATCCTAACTAACTTTGGGTAAGAATATGCAGGGTCATTAGCAGATAAATGCTTTTCATTACAATATAATGTCTCATCCCTTTTCACATTTACTTTAGTGGTAATGACAGAGTACAATTTTCACACGGAAATATCCTAGGAAAATTCCAAAACAGAAAAAGGCATTTGTAAGCCAAGACATGTATGAAAATGACCATGAAAACCACGGCAGCACTTACGAACGTGGGACCGATCCTTGAGCATAGCTGCAACAGCATCCTCATGGGAATCGAAGTGCACATCAGCTTCTCCAGTGGCCTTCCCACTGGAACTGTATTCCATGGTGATTCTAACAGGCTTCAGTGGAGCAAAAAACTAAACAACAAACAAATGAAGCCAAAAGGAACATAATGGTACTAGGTCCAATTTCTAGAAGTCTAGTAGTTCTGCACTTTCCTTTCAGACTTTGATTCATACACTTCAATTTTTTTTTTTTTTTTTTTTTTCCTTTTTAGGAAATATCTTCTACCATCTCTTCTGGCTTTTCTGATCTTTTTAGAACTCAAAGTTCATTTCAAATATCTGATCATAGACAACTTATACTATAAATACCATACTATGCAAGAAATGGTTCTTGACATGCTTTTTATACCAACAAAGACCACTTTTATTATTCTTCCCACAAACATCCTTCCACTTCTAAGAACTATCTGTCGTCTATCACATATACTTTATTTCTTAGTAATTCAATTTTACCATTTTTTCATCAGGCATGTACCTGATAACCATTCTTATCAACACTACATAACAGAGCTACCACCCTGAATGGTTGTCATTCCAAACCAAAGCTACAAAATTTAATGCCTTAATGAGACTGCAACCTTCATTTAGGTGACAATTTGATACTTATTAGGCTTCTTGAAATAATAAAGACAACTCTAAGGCTCATTAACTGAAAACTCTAGGTTTGAATCTATCTTAAGTTTATGTCCTCAAGTTCATAAAGTCAGTAAGTACTTTGTTGTTTTAGTTTTCCATTTCATACAGTACCTACCATGAAATAAAAATATTCTTAAAATTATTTTTCTCAAAAAGTTAGGGAATCATAATGCCACATGGCTACATGGTCTAACGAAAGCTCCAAGCACTTAGGAGCACTGAATTCTTGTCTAGAACCGAACTGCTCTGTGACAAGTTCCTCTGGGTCTCAGCTCACTAAACTCAAAACTGAAGAGGTTGAACCAATTTAGAGAAAATCCACTTTCTTTGAATACTAAACCCACATCATACTATTGTGCATTTAAAAAATCGTCTTATCCACTATACTTGTCACCTTAAAATGCAAGAAAACCCATACTTCTCAGGTTAAGAGAATAAAACAAGCCTCCACAACCATGGAGAGGTAAATCGTACTGTCCAAAGATACTCCAGAAATACTGTATCTTCTTCTCTACCTTCCTGAAATTAATAGAAGCCCAATTTTACAACTTTTATTCTAACCCACTGAGATTAGAAATCTTACTACCACATACGTTTATAATGTCTTGGGCATTGGCTTGGAAAGGCAATCCTCTCATATGAACAAAGTGTAGTGAAGATGTAGTTCCAAAATCACCAGGCTCCGGAAGCTTTTCTGACATCTCCTTAGGCAATTCTGAAAAGTGGAACAAAACACCATCAAGAACATAAAAACTTCAAGAGTTATTAACAAATTACAATTAGGTATAACATTTATATCAAAATCCTTAATGCCTCTTGAACCAATAAGGAAGAAGGACTTGAATTTTAAAGGCCAAAATGATCTGAAATTTCTGCCATCTTACAAATAACACCTGAACACCCATAAGAATTTAGCGGCTAGGGCAACACTTTTTGGGACCCTTTTCACATGCCGAGAGCTCTACTCTTGCTGTAATAAACTTCGCTTCGTTTAAAAATTTAGTGCCTCAACCCATTACCAGATTCCAAAAAAAAAATCCTATATAATAAAAGCCTAGAGGAACCAAGATGGCGGCATAGGTTAACGCGGAAGTTTGCTGCTTTGAACAACTACTTCAAAAGTGAAACCAAAAAACGGAAGGGACATCACCCAGAACCACAGGAACGCTGGCTGAGTGGAAGTCCTACAACTAGGAGGAAAGAGAAACGCATACGGACACTCAGAGGAGGCGCAGTGCTGAAGTCAAATTCTGAGGTGCGGAGTGCGCGGAGCGGGCTGGCGGCGGAGGGCGCGGTTGGCGTTTTCAATCGGGAGGGAGTCACAGAATCTGAGCTCCAGATCCGGGCGAGTCTTTAGGGACCCAGACTCAAACGGGAGAAGCGGGACTGTCTGGCTTCGGTCAGAGCGAGTGCAGCTTTCTCTCTGAGCTTTGCAGCGGGTGCTGGGACTCAGAGAGGCAGAGCCCCTGGGGACAGGACTGAGAGCCGCCATAACTGCTCTCTCCGGCCCACCCTGTTGATCCTGTGCGACCCGCCCCGCCCAAGCCCTGCACTGAGGCATTTGCCGGATAGCCTCAGGCAAACGCAAGATTAGCACCTCCCTAGGGACAGAAGTTCTCTCACTGCTGACACAGCTGATTCTCATAGCCACTTGGCCTGGAGGTCAAACCCTCCCTGGTATTAGCTACAACAATCAAGGTTTAACTATAAGACTGCGAACAAAGACCACTAGGGGGTGCACCAAGGAAGCATAACAAAATGCGGAGACAAAGAAACAGAACAAAATTGTCAATGGAAGATATAGAGTTCAGAACCACACTTTTAAGGTCTCTCAAGAACTGTTTAGAAGCCGCCGATAAACTTAATGAGATCTACAAGAAAACTAATGAGACCCTTGATCTTATATTGGGGAACCAACTAGAAATTAAGCATACACGGACTGAAATAACAAATATTATACAGACTCCCGACAGCAGACCAGAGGAGCGCAAGAATCAAGTCAATGATTTGAAATGCGAGGAAGCAAAAAACACCCAACCGGAAAAGCAAAATGAAAAAAGAACCCAAAAATGCGAGGATAGTGTAAGGAGCCTCTGGGACAGCTTCAAGCGTACCAACATCAGAATTATAGGGGTGCCAGAAGATGAGAGAGAGCAAGATATTGAAAACCTATTTGAAGAAATAATGACAGAAAACTTCCCCCACCTGGTGAAAGAAATGGACTTACAGGTCCAAGAAGCGCGGAGAACCCCAAACAAAAGGAATCCAAAGAGGACCACACCAAGACACATCATCATTAAAATGCCAAGAGCAAAAGATAAAGAGAGAATCTTAAAAACAGCAAGAGAAAGAAACTCAGTTACCTACAAGGGAATACCCATACGACTGTCAGCTGATTTCTCAACAGAAACTTTGCAGGCCAGAAGGGAGTGGCAAGAAATATTCAAAGTGATGAATACCAAGAACCTACAACCAAGATTACTTTATCCAGCAAAGCTATCATTCAGAATTGAAGGTCAGATAAAGAGCTTCACAGATAAGGAAAAGCTAAAGGAGTTCATCACCACCAAACCAGGATTATATGAAATGCTGAAAGGTATCCTTTAAGAAGAGGAAGAGGAAGAAAAAGGTAAAGATACAAATTATGAACAACAAACATGCATCTATCAACAAGTGAATCTAAGAATCAAGTGAATAAATAATCTGGTGATCATAATAGAATCAGGGACATAGAAAGGGAATGGACTGACTATTCCTTGGGGGGAAAGGGGTGTGGGAGATGCGGGAAGAGACTGGACAAAAATCGTGCACCTATGGATGAGGACAGTGGGTGGGGAGTGAGGGCGGAGGGTGGGGCGGGAACTGGGAGGAGGGGAGTTATGGGGGGAAAAAAAAGAGGAACAAATGTAATAATCTGAACAATAAAGATTTAATTAAAAAAAAAAAATAAATAAATAAATAAATAAATAAAAGCCTAATATGCTAAGTGTCCAGTCGACAGTTCAAACCAATCAAAATGTAATATGCTAATGATATGCTAAGGCTGCTCAACTGCTCGCTGTGACATGCACTGACCACCAGGGGGCAGATGCTCCAACCAGTAGGTTAGCTTGCTGCTGGGGTCTGGCCGATTGGGACTGAGTGATATGGGCTGGACACGCCCTGGAGCCCTCCTGCGGTCCCTCCCTTGCTGGCCAACCTCCCGCGCCCCTCCCAGGCCCCGAATGTGCACCGGTGGGATCCCTTGGCCTGGCCTGCACCCTCTCACAACCCAGGACACCTCGGAGGATGTTGGAGAGATGGTTTCGGCCCAATCCCGCAGGCCAGGCCGAGGGACCCCACTAGTGCACGAATTCATGCACCAGGCCACTGGTCTTTCTATAACAAGAGAGAGTAGGAAAAATGATTATTAATGAAAAAATCGAGGAAAGAGTAATTTTCTGAGTTATAAGCATTAAAAAATAAATAAATAAATATGGTAACAGGATAATTCCCAGGGCACCAGTTTAAAAAGGATTTAGCAAACTTCAAAGATTCCAAATGTTGCCGAAACCGGTTTGGCTCAGTGGATAGAGCGTCGGCCTGCGGACTGAAGGGTCCCAGGTTCGATTCCGGTCAAGGGCATGTACCTGGGTTGCGGGCATATCCCCAGTGGGAGATGTGCAGGAGGCAGCTGATCGATGTTTCTCTCTCATTGATGTTTCTAACTCTCTATCTCTCTCCCTTCCTCTCTGTAAAAAATCAATAAAATATATTTAAAAAAAAAAAAAAGATTCCAAATGTTGCTTTGGGTTAGGAATAAAAAGAATAATTAAATACAGAGGCAAACAAAACTCCTTACTTCAGTCAACATTCCTGCTTTCTACCCATATCTTTTCCCACCTTAGTTTAAATATTGACATTTACTTTCTGGTTATATTTGTGCCGCCAGCTTATCTGATGTAGAATCTACAAAAGTTATTAAATTTTAAAAACTTATGCAATAAATTAAGCCTTTCTGAATATTCAAAGTACATACTACACTCAAAGATATATTAAATCTTTAAGTCAATTCCTTTCTCCGGGAGTCTTACAATTTCATACAAATGGTAAAATATATATATATATATATATATATATATATACACACACACAAATATCAAGACATACAAGATAGACCCAATGAGCAGATCCTTACCGATTTCCTTCTCACTTTCATAAGCTGTCATAGGTCGAATATCCTCATTTACTTCCTGTTCTTCAAAGACCACATCTGGCTCAGTTATATACTTAGCAGTAGGAGATGCCATTTTCTTTCCCTTATGAGAACCAACATGTGTTCGAACTTCATTCCTTCTGCTTGGAAATATCTCTATATATCTATGTCAAAGCAAAAGAGAACATCACAAATGGTGCAAAGTAATTTTACAATGAACTCATTTAAAATAAACATGCATATATAGTATTTCCAATAGCTTATGAAACACAAGTGTCCAAAGATAACAGGTGATAGCAAGAACAGATATTATTAGCCCATGTAAAAGTACTCTCAACAGAACAGATCACTGATTTAATCCTCCCCAAGGTAAGTTTTCTTCATATACATCTGAACAACATTTCTACCTTGTTTTGCTTCATGAGAACAACTATGCTATAGTTAATTGTGTGTATGCAAAGAATTGATCTGGTAAGAAGAGCTTTGTTTTCCACAGGTGGTTAACAATCTATTGAAGCTTTAAAATTCAATTCTGTGAAAATTAATCATATTCGCATAAGTGATTAAGTCACAGTATATGAGGAACTAACTTCCTCCAGAACTTCATTGTGTGTTTACTTAATGAGAATTCGTGAACTAAATGTCAATTCTGATCTGCTTGGCAGTGAAAGTATCTATTAAATCTAAGCTTCTGGATCCAATTTTCTTTTTCTCAACATTGCTTTTCCAAATCAGGTTATTAAAAGCTTGAACTGTAAAAATCATTTTATATAAAGACCTATAAAGATTAGGTGGGCACCACTTCTTAATATTATAGAGAGTTCTACATTGCCTTAACATCCCCACATTAAAGTTATTTTATGTGATAAAAAGTTATTTTATTTTAATGATACATTATAATATGAAGAGTGCTGAAAGAAAAAGGAGAGGGGTGTTGCTTTGTATCTACTTTTTTCACTTGAAACAAATTTAATAAAGACTTTTGAACCAATTCTATAAGTAATTCTGAAATACAATGGCTTTGGATTGGCTTGAGTACTCCTCCAAAATTAAAGTTAAAACACAAAAGAAGCCACAAATCACTCCATGCATCCTAAGGCAGTGATTCTCAACCTTCTGGCCCTTTAAATACAGCTCTTCATGTTGTGACCCAACCATAAAATTATTTTCATTGCTACTTCATAACTGTAATGTTGCTACTGTTATGAATCGCAATGTAAATATCTGATATGCAGGATGGTCTTAGGCGACCCTTGTGAAAGGGTCATTCGACCGCCAAAGGGGTCGCGACCCACAGGGTGAGAACCTCTGTGACCTAAGGTGATGTGATATACAGTCTACAGAATCATCTACAGAGCATCCACACCAAAATGTTAACTTGAACCAATTCAAGACTTTAGCTCTAGCTTCCAGTTTCCGGGGGTAATACAGGATACAAAGGAACAAGTTAAATGACACCATGAGGATGCAATAAGGTAAAAATAGAACATGAGACACTGTACAGGACAACTGTCCCAATTTCTTCAAAAGTCAATGACATTTATAAAGGGAGAGGGAATAAAAAAATAAAGAAGGGGATTTGCTCTACTTTAAGAACAATCAAGCCGAAACCAGTCTGGCTCAGTGGATAGAGCATCGGCCTGCGGACTGAAGGGCCCCGGGTTCGATTCTGGTCAAGGGCATGTACCAGGGTTGCGGGCACATCCCCAGTAGGAGATGTGCAGGAGGCGGCTGATCGATGTTTCTCTCCCATCGATGTTTCTAACTCTCTATCTCTCTCCCTTCCTCTCTGTAAAAAATCAATAAAATATATTAAAAAAAAAAAAAAAAAAAAGAACAATCAAATAAAGTGTGGGTCATGTCTAGATTTTGGTGCCAAAAAAAATCCAACTGCAACGATATATTAGGTATAATTAAGATAATGTGATTATGGATTCACATTAGATAAGTTGTTGGTAATTTTGTTAGATGTGCTAATATTGGGGTCATGTAAGAAAAGTATTTTTTAATTGATTTTAGAAAAGGAGGGAGGGAGAAGGGAGAGAGACAGAGAGAGGCATCTTATCAGTTGCCTCTCACACATGCCCCGACCAGGGATGGAACCCATAACCAGGGCATGTGCCCTGACTGGGAATCAAATCTGAGACCTTCTGGTACACGGAAGGATACTCCAAGCGAGCCACCCAGCCAAGGCAAAAAAATATATTTTATAGATGCATATTGAAATAACAGATACAGCAAATTACCACGTCAATGATTTGTTAACCTAAGTGCAAGGCATTTGAAAGCTCATCATACTACTCTACTTTTCTGTTTAGATCACCTGACACTCATATTACAGTTCATTCATCAAAATGACCCAACATATGATACTCCTGCAGCATTAGTATCTACCTTACTCACCGGTTACCGATTTCTTCCCTGTGTTTCAACAGGGCTTGGTTGGCCATTTCTGGTTCTTCAAACTGCACATAGGCTTCTCCTGTCTTTCTTCTCCCTCTATAGTCCATCACAAAAGTAATGTCTACTATATTCAGTCCTAGGGCACCAAAAAAATTATCACAAATTAGTGCTGCTAACAGGAACTTTTTATACTTAAAATTAACTCATTCATTCACATACTAATTTTTGTTACTTTATTAGTGAAATTGAGAGCTGTTTTGCCAGTCCAAAAACTAGATACCTAATTGAGAGAAAATTATTATGCAGCCAAAAACTAGTAACACCTACACATCTATATTTCCAGAATGTTTAGGGTACAAGCAGTTCATGTAAAATCCACTTCTCTTTCTATGTTTTTTTTGCCAAAATGTATTAGGAGAAATAGAGATTTAGACTAACATCACTACTAATGTAATGATGCATATTTTACAGCTAAGAATTCTAATTCATATAAATTGTTAGCCTTAATATGGACACTGCTATGAGAAACACTTACGTAATTCATAAATACTGGAAATCCAAATGAAGAGTTCTCCCCTAAAGAACCTAATATAACTGCATGCAGTTACTTAGGAAAAGGAGACAATGCGGGGAGAGGGAAGGGATAAGAGGCTCCAAATATGATAAAACTGAAAAGCACCTGCAAAGAAGTCTATAATGTCTTTCTCATTGCAACTATAAGGAAGTCCTCTCAAGCGAACCACACCATCATTTACCACAGGGGAAGATTTAACCTGCAGGCTCTTCATTAAGGCATCCACATCTTCATTGTTTATCTCATATACTACAAAGCAAATGCACAAAAGACACATCAAATTTACATAACAAAGGAAAAGGCCTTTTTAAAAAAATATCAAGAATTTTAAAACTAGTATTTTTTAAATCTTTATGTACTTCTTTGGAGAAAATAACATGACATTTATTGAATATTTATATGTGCCAGGCATCATTCATTTAAACATCACAATTTGTGAGATAAACTTGGTCAACATCTTCATTTTATAGATAAGAAACAGAGATGATCCCTGTGTTTCATGTTTGTACCCTAAAAAAGGGTATATTCATAATATCTAACTATTTCACTATTGCTAAGGAGCAAATGAAACTGCCTTGGAAAATATAAAGTCTTATGTAATGATCTGGAAAAGTCACACGGTGACTTCACGTACCTTCCACATACCGCTGCCCCATGTACAAGCGGTGCTTTTCTAAGGCTTTCTGCACATCCTGCTCTGACTCCATTTCAATTAAGGCATCACCTCTTCGTTTCCCATCTCTATTTAAGAGGAAGTGTATTCCATTCTCACCATTGCGGATTCTGCAGTCTAAAAGTATGTGAATAAAAATCAATTAAAACCAGAAACCAATTATTCAAGCCACTGGAATGCAATCTTCCCACACCAAAACAAGAATCAAAATGCCTGCCATATTCCTTACACAAGCCCCCATCTGAAGCTGTCCAAATGCCAAGGAGGTGGTAATCTCTAAAAAGTTCCACATTAAAAAGATAAGCAAACTATACTGCATACATAAGTTTATGATCTCCTGGTCATTAAATGGCACTTTAAACTAGGCTCAACAAAAAAATGTATTATGTCCTTCTCAATGCTTCTATGGTTATGTTTATGCATAAGTGTCTTCTTTTGTTATAATCACAACCAGAAAAACTCTAAAATATCTCCTATAAGAATAATTTTGCTACCATAACTTAACTTTTCTTTTTTATTACTATGAAAAGATATCCCCTTACTGCATACTTCTTATAATGGGAGCAAGTGGAAGATGTAAATGACTTTACAAAATGCTTGACCACACAATGCTATACACATTAAGGTACTTGGTATATGTTACATTGTTTTTACAACATTTAAGGTAGCATCTTCTAAAACTCTCTTAAAAGGAAAATTAAAAATCAGTCAGATGTAGAAACAAAAAAACTAACCACAGATATGTAACCCTCCAAACACGGTTTATTAAGGAAACTATGCCATTTGATACTACGTGATCTTGTATTTTAAATGTTTTGCATAAAAAGCTACTCTTAACCCATGTTCCCACTAACATATTTCCACTAACAGGTTTGGCTTTTTGATCTGTGCATATCAAAACTTCAGAGAAAACTGGCTTTATGTATTAAATTTTAGTCCTAGCATTTAATTTTTTGTTGTTTTAACATTAAATTTTTTGTTGCATTCAGTCTTTAAACCTGGTATATAAACCAAGAGTACACATGGTATCACTTGGTATGCACCAGTTGACACAATTCTCAACCATCAAATGAGATGTTTACAGCACAGTTTAACTTGGATTTTGTGGGACTCTTTTGCTCAGAAAAAATTACATATTTAAAGCATACATAAAATATACCTGAAAAAAAGCTAAGCACATCTTCGACAGTGCACGACCATGGTAATCCTTGAGCTCGAATCAGATAAACATCATCCACTTCCTCTCCTAACTTGGATGGAGGCAATTCATACTCAGGGGGAGGTGGAAGGTCTTCCAGGTAGGTAGCTTTAGACTCCTTCCAAGAGAAATGAAGAAATGTTAAGATTTCTTTGACAACCTACTTAGAAAAATGTTTACTTCTACAAACTAGTGCTCTTGATGTTATTTTTAGGGGACAGTTACTATTTCAGAGGCAATAAGTAAGATTCACAAACCTAACTCATCCTGTTTTGGCTTAAATTAAATATCCTAAAAGTAGCAAGCAGATCTATATCCTAATGGCTTGGCAGGACACAAATTTTACTCAGGCCTTGTTTTTAAATTCTTCGGTGCCAAATTACACCTAATAATAGTGTTTTTGTTAAGGTAGAACGAGAGGGGTCCTTTCAATTTGACAAATATGTGAGTGCCTCCTACTTACTGTGAACCATGTTATGCCCTCATCTAAAAAGTTTACCATCCGTCAAACCTCAGAGGGAAGGTAGGGATTATTGCAAAACAGCAATAATCCCATTTGACTAAACATTAGGACCCAATTATGGGCCAAGGAAGATGAGCTGGCAAAAGGAACTTGGCACCATTTAGCAGAAGGACCTGAGTGTGTCTCCTTAACCTGGTAGGCAAAGGGGGGGGGGGGGGGGGTGGAGGGGATTAATAAAAGACATTTAGAAGTGGATAAATCAACAAGACAGCAGGATGCTTGGAAAGATTAATCTGTCAACTGGTATGCCAGACCAACTGGAAAAGGAAAAGATCATAAAGGCAGTAACAGTTGTGTGAGGTAACAGGAGCCTGAGAAATATGTAAAAACCTCTACTGCATTTTTACACAGGGGGCAGGGGGTGGAAGAGGGTATGGGAGGGATAGATGGTGATGGACAGAGACTTGACTTGGGGTGATGAACAGTTACAGAATTGTGTACCTGAAAGCCTGTATAATTTTGTTAATCAGTGTCACCCCAATAAATTCAATTAAAAAACAAACTATTTTACAAAACTAAGCAAAAGTTGAAATTTAGTGAGATCCCAACAAGCACCATCACTGTAATAGGGAAGACAGCTCAAGTTTTTAAGATCTGCACTTTGCTGGGCTGAGGAAAGAGGTTCCTTTGTACTCAGGCGGGCTCCGCGAAGACGCGTGTCTAATTTTATGGAGTCGGGATAAGTGTAGCTTCAGCAGAGGTCAAGAAAGCAACTAGCACTACAATTAACGTGGGTAAACAACTCCAGTGGCTTGCACTCCACTGGGCTACGGGGAGATGCTTCACTCCTGCGTATGGGCCCATCATTTTCCCGAAGACTTACATACAATGTTAAGAAGTCAGTGACAAACGGAAGCGGTGTGTAACACTAGTCTAGAGAGAGGCTCAACAGATATCATTACAGATAACATGAGAGAGTAGCCAGCTCACAAGGGCTCATTACAGATAGTTTGTTTTTTAATAAAGGCAACATTCCCCAATTTCCCAGAATTCCGTAAGATCACAAGCTTTTACAGAAAAGGGCAGCAGAAAGCCTTGGGCCAGGATTCAAGTCCATTAGCTCAGCAGACAGCGGCCAAGCCGATAAGCCGCCCCGTCTCGCTGAGCCCGAGGAGAAGCACGAACTGATTTAAGACCAACATGACCCGCCGCCCCAGGAGCTGGATACTCCAGAAGTGTGGTGACATTTCCCAGATGCCACGTAACGAGCAGAAAGCAAGCTTCCTGCAAGGCACAAAATAGGTGCCATCTGAGTGCTCAAAGCGCACGCAGACTTTTAAAAAGAAAACACGGTCGGCCCATCCATGCCTAGATCCCCACATCGCGGCCTCGGCCCTGGACGCCTCCCTCCCCCAGGATCGGTCTCCAAACGGCCCTCCCGGCGGCGACCCGGGTCCTGAAGGTCCTGCTGTCAGCGGAGGTGGAGGAGCAGAGGTGACCTTCATGGCCGGGGCAGCCCGCCTTTCCCGGGGACACTGCCGAGGGGGCTGGGGACGAGCTCCTTCCCCCCGAGCCCAGCCCACGCAGCCGTGGCGCGCGGGCCTTCCCAGCAGCGGCCGCAAGGCGCCCCGGGCCGCCCGGGCCTAGCGCTCGGGCGGCGCGATGCCTCTCACCCTCCGCGGGGCCGGGCCCCCCAACTCACAACCAGCCGGCTGAGGGCGACGGGGGCGCGGGGTGGGGGCGTCGGCAGCCCCCCCAACCTACCATGGGCCGGCAGGAAGCAGGCCTCAACCTTCACCCCCAGCCACACTTACACTGCCCCACTGGCCGGAGGCTCCGGAGAACAAAACAGGGCGAAAACCCGGGGCCCGGGAGAGCGTCCCTTGTTCCGGGGCCCAATCGGAGGACGGGGCGGCCGGGGTGGGGGGGGGGGCGGCGAGCGCCGCGGGTCCCGGGCCGCGCGCGCGGAGGTCGCGGGGACGCGGGCGCGCGGCCGGGGAGGGGAAGGGTCCCGCGCGCGCCCCTCGCGGCGCCCACGCACCTGGCTGTAGCCCCGCGCCGGGCCGGCGGCCGCCGCCAGCGACTGCGGCAGCAGCGGGGCGCGCAGGGCCGGGTAGGAGGCGGCGGCCGCGGCGGCGGCGGAGGTGGCCGCGGGGGGAGGCCCCGCCAGCCTCCCGGCGGGCGCCGGCCCGGTCTGGAGGCCGCGCGTCTGGGAGGCGGCGGCCGCGGCGGCCCCGAGCAGCAGCAGCAGGCGGCGCCGGCCCGAGACGCCCGAAGGGAAGGAGCCGGCGGCCGAGTAGAAGGGCAGGCAGGCGGCGCCGGTGCGCCGGCAGCTGCTGCAGTTGCAGCCGCAGCCCCGGAGCAGCGCCCCGAGCACCCAGCGCGTCCCGGCCATGGACTCCGGAGGCGGCGCGGGGCCTGGAGGCGGCTGCGGCTGCAGCGCGAGCGGAGGGGAAGTGGAATCCAGGGCCGGGGAGGGGCGCGGGGCACATGCGCCGCCGGCTCCGGGCAGCGGCGAGGCGGAGGGGAGTGCGCGGCCCCGCCCCGGCTCCGCCCTCGGGGCGGGGCTGCCTGCGGCCGGGGGCGGGGTGGCGGCGGGGCCCGGGCCCGCAGCCACGCGCTCGTCCACCCGGTGGAACTGGGTCCCGCGTGGGCCAGGCGAGAGCCCCCCCCCTTGCCGAGTCCAGACGTGAACGCAGGTCCAGGGACACCTGGTCCTGTCTCCTCCGAACGCGTAACGTGAAGGGCACAGGCTGTTTCTGGAAGGAATTGTGATGCTCTGCGTATAGAAAGTGTCGGGGGACGTGCAGGAGGTTTAGGAGCCCCCACACTTGGGACACCTGCGGAGGCCAATTTCCGTTTGAAAGGAGATCGTTACCTATATGTTGACTATACGTGCATATAACAAAGGTAACGCCTCCCTTGGTGAATTGGTGTATGCACAAGTGAGCAGGCAGAAGCTCGAAAAAGAATTGGTTGTGCAGTTTTCCTCCCGTGGCCAGGAGCCAGCTCAGATTAATAGGCAAAGGGGAGTTCTGAGAGTTAAAAAAAAAAAAAAAAAAAACCTAAAATTTTGAACTTTTTTTACTGTAGAAAATCTCAAAGAAAAGTACAATGAAGTTACCGAATTTCAGAAAATATCAACATTTTTAAGATCTTGTGTCATCTGTCCCCACCACCACTACCCAAACATTTTTTTCTTTGCTGGGTCATGTCAATCAATCACCCTTTCAGTATCCATCTTAAACTGATAAGGACTTATAAAAAAAAACAACCCCAAACATGATATTCAGATTAATTTTTTGTTTTGTTTTGTTTTAAATATCTTTTATTGATTTTAGAGAGGAAAGGAGCAGGGGAGAGAGAAACATCAATGATGAGAAAGAATCATTGATTGGCTGCCTCCTGCACACCCCCCACTGGGGATCCAGCCCCCAACCCAGGCATGTGCTCTTGGCCGGAATCAACCCCGGGATCCCTCAGTCCACAGGCCAACACTATATCCATTGAGCCAAACCAGGTAGGGCCAGATTAATAGTTTTGAAGTATTCAGGATTATTGTACTTAAGTAATGGCCTGCTTTTAGGGAAAGGAAAGCTGGGTATTACACGCCCCCTCCCCCGAAAAAAAAAAAAAAAAACTTTTCCCACCAAAAAAAAGCTTGGCTCTGTGGACTTCCTCATCTGCAAAATTTAGAAATCCTAGAAAGTTTTTTTTCTTAAATCTCCCTTTCAAGAAGGAAAATGGGTATCCCTAACAGATTATCACTATAAATCACGATTTAGGGATTCTGCCCATACTTACCTTTGCTTTCATTTTCTTTTTAAAAATAAATCTTTTGCCCTGACCGGTTTGGCTCAGTGGACAGAGCGTAGGCCTCCGGACTCAAGGGTCCTGGGTTCGATTCCGGTCAAGGGCATCTACCTTGGTTGTGGGCACATCCCCAGTAGGGAGTGTGCAGGAGACAGCTGATTGATGTTTCTCTCTCATCGATGTTTCTAATTCTCTATCCCTCTTCCTTCCTCTCTGCAAAAAATCAATAAAATATATTAAAAAAATAAAAAATAAATAAATCTTTGTGAGTTCAGAGAGGAAGGGAGAGGGAGAGAAAGAAACATCAATGATGACAGAGATTGGCTGTCTCCTGCATGATGGGGGATCCAGACCAGGAACCAGGCATATGCTCTGACCAGGAGGAATAGAACCATGACCTCCTGGTTCATAGGTTGACACTCAACCACTGAGCCACACCAGCAGGGCAAGAGGGAAGATTTGAGAGAGGTTTTTTGTTGTTGTTGTTTTTAATTTACTTTTAAAGAGAAAGAAAGAGATTGAACCTGCAACCCGGGTATGTGCCCTGACAGGAATCGAACCCACCACCTTTCGGTGTATAGGAAGACACTAAACCAACTGAGCCACACCAGCAATGGGGAGAGATTTTTTTTTTTTTTTTTTTTTAATGAGCTAGAATCAACAGGATTTGAAGCCAGGTTAGAAAGGGGGGTGGTGTTTTCTGTTATTGTTACTTGGAGTTGGGAAGAGAGGATGGGGGTGACTTTTCATCCCTGGGAAAGTTTATATATATATACAGAGTAGCATTGATAGGTGTCAGCCTACTCCTCTGACAAGAATTTCTGAGGTTGAGCTAGTCAAAATTGGTGAAAAGAAACACCAATTCGAGGGAGGATAAGGAGAAAAACAATCATCTCCCTTCACTAGGAAAGAATGTTCAAATGAAGCCCTCTTAGATCTAAAGAGCACATTATTGTGACCTGGGAGAGGAGCTGGATGGGGATGTTTGTTCTGATATCTAATAAATAAATTAAGGAACTCACTTTATTGTCTGTGCCCCCAATTCTTAGAGGTGAGCATACTTTTCTTCTGATATGCAATGAGGCTAAGTTCATCTCAAAGGGTCCCATTCCACAGCCTTCTTTGCATTTGAAAGAAACCAAAAAAAAATCATGAACATGGATGTCAATACGCCTAGGGTGGCAAAAGGAAAAGGAATTGAAGTCAAGTACCATAAAGAAATGCTGCCCATTTGTGTAACCTGTGATTAAGGTGCTATTCATCATCCAAGATTAAAGGAAGAAGTTTCTTATGTTGAGTAGAGAGATACAAGAGAATACCAGTCACTTCCAAGGGAACACAAAGAGGCACGTTTTATCACCACTGTCACTACTTCATTCTTTTATCTGACAGCAAAAACTGATCCACTAGAGCCACACATTTGCAATGCTTCTTAGGTTAGCTCTATCAGTTGGCCTATATTCACTATTAACTAGTCCATGCTAGCCAATTGTTATGTCTCTCCCATAGGTTGCATTTGGAAAATCCTTCCATGAAGGAAAAAAAATATACCTGTTTACAATCAATGTGTGACAGACCAACAAACCTAAATACTGCAGCATCCTCACTTGTTAAAATTAAAATAGGTCTCTGGGAAAGAGAGTAGCTGATTCGTTATTTAAATGAAATAGAACTCTAAATACATAGACTGAAACCTTGCAGGTTACAATCAGAAGTCACACCTAAGTATTAAAACTGAAAGTTGTCTTTTAAATTAATGTGTAATTGAGAATTTTATATTAGTTTCAAGTGACTCAACATTTATATACAATACCTACCATGATAAAATCACCATGATAAAATCTAGTAACTGTCCCCATACAAAGTTAAAAAGTGGACAGCTTTGCCCTAGCCCGTTTGGTTCAGTGGAGTGAAAGGTCCCGGGTTCCATTCAGGTTAAGGGCACATGCCCTAGTTGTGGGCTCGATCCCCATTGGGGGGGGTGTGCAGGAGGCAGCCAATCAATGAGTCTCTCTCATCATTGATGTTTCTATACCTCTCTCTCCTCTCCTCTCTGAAATCAATTATATATATATATGCATATATATCTGCATATATATATAAAAGACTGCAGTTTAAAACAAAAAAAAGTGGACAGCTTTAATTTTTACTTTCAAGAAATAGTAATTTAAAAAAAATAAAAGGATTATTTTAAATTAATGCCTATTTTTCCCCCATGGCAAAAAAAAAAAAAAAATGGAACAAGACTGGAAATGTGAACTATATTCCTGAAGGAATTCTCAGAATACAATGTCAACACAATTATTATAAGGAACTGATTTACTCCAGATAGATGAGGCAGTCACAAAATTGAACTCTGTGGGTGTTGACTCAGGATTACTGTGTAAAGCTCACATTGAGACTATAAAGAAAGTGGAATGGTGGACCATGGCATCCTCAGGCATATTTACAAAATAAGGTGGTAGTGCTTTTTACTAGCCGAACACTGAGCTCTCCTCCCATCAACTAGCTTTTCCTCGGAGGGCCAAAGCTAGGGTGCAGCCAGAGACCAAGGCGCTGAGCATCACCTTACACACACAAGGTTCCAAAGACCAAGAAGTCTTTGTTAGTAAGCATCATTATTAACAATCATCTCTTTAAAATACATGAATGTAGTTTTATTAAAAAGCCATGAAAGATTACATACACATATACACATACATGTGCACAAACGCATAGAGTAAAGTTTGCCTCTACCCACTGTCCTCTAACCATCCATTTCTCAGTGATTGATAGTTACCAGTTTCTTGTGTATCCTTTAAGACAGTCTGTGTTTCATCATTTTTAAATTTGGTAATTCCCCTGTCCTTGGAATTTTGACAAGTTTTCCACCTGCTATCAAAGGATGTTCTGAAGCCAGCACGTTTACAAGTTGAGAGCAAAAGGAAAGGGAAGCATAATAGACAAATGAGATCCTGTGTCACTAGAAACAAAGGATACTGGAAGGAAAAGGTAAGTTTGCTATATTTGGAAGAATAATTTTCTATTTAACAACATAGCTTAAGTAGGAAAAACATAAGACTTCAGAGTCAGACACTGATAATTGGCTATGTCACTGTCTTTGCCACTTTGGTCATTAGGTAATCTCTCTGAGCTTTATTTCCTAAGTTATAAAAACAGAGATAATGTTAACTACCACATAGAGTTGTGAGGTATCTGGCATACAGAAAGAACCTTTTAAATGGTGACTATTATTATTTTCTTAAATATTGTTTAAAGGAAATGGTTATTGTTGTACTTTAATTCTGTTTCTTCCCTTCTCTCTGATTCTACCTCAGTATTTTTTTTCATTGAAATATAATTGACATGCAACCAACTCAATATTTATTTGTTAACAAGAGGCCCAGTGCACAAATTCGTAGACCAGTGGGGTCCCTCGGCCTGGGCTTTGGGGATCAGTGGACCTCTGTGCCACCGCAGCCCAGCCTTACCCACCAGCCTGTTGGGCTCCAGTCCACTGTCCATGTGGATCCCCCACAACACGAAGTAGTACAGGAAGCAGCAGGCAGCCAGGGAGGAGCCAGAGCCTAGGCTGGGCATCCCGGCTCCGCTGCTCCTGCCACCGCCGCCACTCGGGTGCGCAGCGGAGTGTCTCCACAGGAGAGGCTCGTACCTCCGCAGCTGCGCT